ATGAGGCAGAGCAAATGAGAAGCAACATAAATGAGACACCAAAAATAAGAAACAAAACTAAAATTTATTCTTGAAACGGATTGTGACGGTTCATGAAATCCCTGGAGAGTTCTTTCGTGTATACGTGCATGCTACGCAAACTCCGTTCCTGCTCTCCAGTAGGAAAGTCAAATTGCATTTATCCATCAATTAATATCGATTCTTAAGCTCAAGATACAAGCATCAAATAGAATTTGCAAAAATCTATTATTCTCAGTTCACATATGCTTTGTGTATAATGAGTTAATGTGTCTCCTGGAGCTATTACAATCTGCTAAAAGCACCATGAAATTATACATTTTTATGAATTTATTCTCGAATGGAATTGCAACCCTGAACCGTGACAATCTACTGAATTGGTAGCGGGTTGAATCCCACCCCTCTATTCTGCAGTCTACTGTACACCAGTCGACAGTGGGATGTCAAACTGCATTCGTCAACATTAAGTTGAAGTTTAACACAATAAATAAATAAAACACCAACACGTTTTTGAGCAACCTGTGTGAACTACAATGTTTTTTATTCATGCATGTACCATGCTTTAGTTGACAAGTTTACTCAAGAAACATTTTACAATGAAATCGCATTATGTGCATAATCATATTAATATGTGTAAACGAGAAAGTATAATTATCTTCATCATTAGACCTCCTTTGCCAGTATCAAAATATTATAATAGGGTTTTTCCACTTTTTTCTGGCAACAAAACTGAAACCTTTTTACAAGGAATAATTTGTGCATTAACCACAATACTTGTGGTCAAAATGCAAACAAAAAACACACTGATGATCTATGCATTGTCCTTGAAACTGATTGGTCCACACCAGAGACGGCTTTCTTTTGAGCCTCGTCTCAATTGGTGCTAGACCAGAGGACGTCAAAAGGCGTACAGCTCAATGACAATGCACTATAAAAGTAATGAGGGCTCGGGGTAAGCATCTACATCATTAGACCTCCTTTGCCAGTACCAAAATATAATAATAGCATTTTGACCACAAGTATTGTGGTTAATGCACACATGCTTCCTTGTAAAAAGGTTTCAGTTTTTTGCCAGAGAAAAGGGGAAAAACCCTCATATAATTATCCTTTGTGAATTAGCAGACTAATTACATTTTGCTTAATCTGCTTGTGTAACATGCACACGCAACCATAATGATTGTGCGTGTGTGTGCGCTCGCTTACTCAAAATAAGTAAATACGGTTCTCACCTGGAGGAATGAAGCCTACCCCTACTGAATAAAGTCTACTAGGAGCACAGTGATTTGTGCACTGCACCACGTTCACAGCGTGCCGAGTGTGAATAATGGGCACAGCTAACATAAGTGGCAAGTGAGAGCTGAGTTGGTCCTGGGCCATTCCCCATTCACCAACTCGCACGGACCAGTGTGGTGAAGTATGGTAAAAAATATTCCCATAACCGAGACAATATGGGACGCCTTCATCCAGGAGCGGATTGATCAAGTGGCCATAAATAAGAACAATAATTACTTTGTGTAAGGTTACATGGATCCTTCAGCTAATAAGTTAAAGGAATACAAATTGTATTTGCAAAAAACGTATGGCAACAAATTAAATTCACAAATGCATAACCGTAAGTAGAGTTGTACGGAGAGTAGAAATTAGGAGGCACACGTAAGTGAGATTGATTGCAGATGTAATTGTTAATAATGAGGATGATATGGAACGTTCAAATATCATGATAATTCAAGTTTAAACATACGCATAGACTCGAAGGGATTATAGTATGTTTATATAATTTAATCAATTATCCATCTGTGCAGTTATAAATAATCAATGGGAAAATATATTCCAAGAGATTGTCAAAATACACCTAAAAGTTGGTGCAGCTTTTAAATATGTTGCTTCTCATTTGCTCCCTGCATAATAATTTTCACTGCTGGATGAAGGCCTCACCATAATATACGGCAAAGGGAATTGTTTGACCATACTTCACCATTGGTAAAGGTTATGCCAAGGACCAGTTCAGATATCACTCACCATGGATGGGAATCGAACTCAGGTTGACAAATTCATAGTGCAGTGTGGGAATCACTATGCAACACCACTCTCTAGATGTACGAATGCTATATTGTGCATGTGCATTGTATATATTTTTTACTGCAAGAAGAGACAGCTTGGCCTTGGCTCTTTCAAATAGATCACATTAATGTTTAACCATGTTGTTAAAATTGACGTTTCCTTCAAATAAATGCATTAATAAATTACCATATGGATTTCTGGGGGGGGGGGGGGGGGGTAAGTAGGTAGATCTGTTGCTAGGTAGGTGGTTAAGTGAATTGTTTAATGGATGGAAAGTATGATTGGGCTGGGAGAGTAGGTGAGGTGGATATTGAATTTACTAAAAGATTATTGTTTTCCGTAGCAGTGCGTACGTGTGCGCCAAGAGCAGTGACTGAATCACCTCGTCAGATCTCGAAAGCTCAGCAAGTTTTGAGCCGGGTTATTTCTTGGACGAGAGATTGCTTGGGCATAATGGGCGCTGTAGGCTTCACTAGCCAGAGATGGCAGAATGGCAATTGATTCTTGATTGCTGTTTTTTTCTGCTACTCTGATTTCCTCACGCATGAAGCCGAATACTCAATAATGTAATTGGCCAAACTTCCCATTACATAACTCACCTAAAGAAGTCTTAAGGTTCAGAGGCTTTTCTGGATAAATGAATGGCATTGCTTATCATTGCGACACACAGGAACCCATGAATAACGCAACACTCGTATGTAAACTAACAATACCCTTACACGTGCAGTCAACCCAAACTTTTGGCCGGTGTCTTATAGTCGCTCTGATTGTATCTGCAAAACATCGTGACCTGTGGCATTAGTCACAGATTTCTGTAGATATTCATGGGCATAGAGCTGTTCACAGTTATTATTGCTGCAACGTGATGAGTAAGCAGTCACACTGAGGGCAGCACCTGTCCGTGTCACAATCAACCCGTCTTATAAGACCAGAGGGGCTAGGGGCTGAAGGGAGGGTAAGTGGGCAGTTGGGGAGGTGGACGGGATGGTGGATTAGTGGCTGGGTGGGGGAGTGTGTGAAGGGGAGAGATGGATGCAGAGACACAGGTGGGGGAGTGTGTGAAGGGGAAAGATGGATGCAGAGACACAGGTGGGGGAGTGTGTGAAGGGGAGAGATGGATACAGAGCCACAGGTGGGGAAGTGTGTGAAGGGGAGAGATGGATGCAGAGACACAGGTGGGGGGGTAGTGGCTGCACTGCGCACGGCCGTTGCCTAAGAGGCATTTGGTCTGTAGATGCGAGCTCGAGATACAGGCCGTGCGCACACGTGCATGCCAGAAAAACAACACAGGTGCATGTCACAAAATAACCTGTGGTTACCGGGGAGCAACCAACCGCCCCCCCCCTCCCCCTAACCCAGGGCAGTTCTCTGCAGGGCGATGCGACAGAGTAGGGACCGAGATAAGAAAAAAATGTATTTGCTGCAGCCATGCAAAGCATAGGATGCGTCACAATGGTGCGAAATGAAGATCGGGAAGAAAGTGGACAGTTGATGTGAAAAATTATTGACTTGAGACCGAAGAAATGAATTGTCACGATTTGGAATCACGATTTGATTCGACAATCTTGTCTCGCGTTTGAAGCCTCAGTTGTGTTGTTTTATTTACGGGGGGGAGGGTGTATAGTTTCCACTGTGTTGTCCACCCCCATTAACCACAATGTAACAATTGTACACAAATGTATCAAAATAATCGGTTGGTCGTATGCACGAGCGTATTAATCGATTTTTACTCTATGCGTCGTTAAAGTGCCGAATAGTCTGGTGGAAGGTGCGTCTTCACCAATGACCATCGTTTTTGAAGAAATAAAAATCAGAGCCTGTGTACCGCTTAATGAAGCTGCATCAAACCATTCTATAAACAAAAAGGGACTCTTCTTAAATCTTGACTTAAAGCTTTTGTGACTGCAGGAATTCATATTCTTTGGGTCTTTCGGTGAAGTCACGTAGATCGGTTCAAAGAACATAACAAAAAATAACAAAAAACTACTAGCTTTTAATAATTTTTGTTATTTTCTTTGAACCTATCTACGTGACTTTACTGAAAGACCCAAAGAATAGGGATTCTTCTTCTTTGAAAGCAAGCGCCGCGTGTGTGACTCTAATGGAGGAAACCTGTTCCAATATAGTTGAACTAATGCAATAATTGGCTGTCTTTCTGTTGGACTTAGAAAATGGGGGTGGGGGGAGCTGTTGGGAAAAAAAAGCATTTAAATTTGGCTACAAGCTGCTTTTAACGTCTAACTCTCGAGGACGAGTATCAGGGAACTGGGGGCACGTGGGAAAATGAAGGCTTAGGCCAGACCCAGCCACACGGCTCCCACTCACCACTCGCTCTCCCCCATCAACAACATACCGATCCCACTCCGCCTCACTGCCACTGTAGTTGTTTGCGATTTTTACTCTCATCTTTTCCTCTTCGTATTTTCAGTTATTTGAAGGCAATAGGTAAAGGCATATATATGCACCGTACCACATTTTTTCCCATATTGAGAAAAGTAACCCCTCACTGGATTTTATTTTAATTGCATGGGAATGCAGTGGACTTCATCTGCAGATTGCCCAAGTGCTGCGTTTTTATGAAAGTTATAAATGGGCTGTGGAGTGATTTTAGTGTTTTTGAAAAGATAAACATCCTGCATATTTTCTCAAATGGTCGAATGCTCTGAGTGGCACTGTTCTCTTTCTGTCTTTGTCTCCGATCTCTGTCTAATATGAGTTTCCATCTCGCTGTTTCCAAAGCTTGTCTGGCTTGCAATGCAATGTTATTATTGTTACTATTTCCCGTGCACGTAACTTCACAATGCTCTCTGCAGCCGCTAACTGCTCTCATGCCCACCATCTTGCGAACGAATACGTTACAAGAACATTTTTATGCCCTCTTCTCAATTCTTGGCTTCTTCCTCCCTGGCTCCCTTCGTCAGGTTTGGCCGACCCAAGAAGGAAGACAAATCTCCAAAGACAGATGGGAAGAACACAGCAAGAAGACCAGAGGAGAGTGGGGAAGACCGGGTCATGAGCCCAGCCGAAACATTTGATGGTGGAGCTCGCCTTGAGCCAGACAGGTGGGTGGTCATGGGTCACACTCGCACCCACACTCGCGCCCACCCTCGCACCCACACTCGCACCCACCCTCGCACCCACACTCGCACCCACACTCGCACCCACACCCGCACCCACCCTCGCACCCACCCTCGACTTCTCCAGCATAAGCTTCATTTATTCGTACTTTCTAAAATCTGTCCTGTCTGCAGTATATACACACATAAGAACAGGCAATTTCACACGCTCAGTCTGATTGGCCACTCGCAAATCAAATTGCTTGAGGATGTTGTTTGTCCACACCGTAATTGTGACTCCTTGTGATTGGCCAGCAGTACAATTGAAATGTCAGTCAGTGCACTGGGTGAGAGCTCAAGAACTCTCGATGAAGACTGCATAATGCTGTGTGTACTGCAGCCCAGCAGTTGAAAAACAGAGCTCAGTTTGTCATACAGCATTTTGAGATGTGGTCATATTTGGGCGCTATATAAATCGAAACTGAATTGCTTTCAAAGTCTCTTTCACCACCACTTTTTGGCCATGTCCATCATGGCGAAGAGTTGCTATGTTACAGCACTGTGATTACAGTTGCCAGGGTCACATGGAAGGAAACGTTCCATTTTCAGCTAAGGCATCCCTTCTCCCCCCCACCCCCCTTCCCCAGTGAGAGTCAACGTTGGCTCTCACTGGGTGCCTCGCATAGAGATGCAAGGCCCCTGGAGTGTATGCCATCTTCGCTCACCTGCCCGCTCACCCATTAGAATGGTGGTTTAAAAACAAAAATCTATGAGATTCCAGATGTGTCCGTAAACAAAGCATGTAGTGTGTCAAAGTTGTGGGCATAACATTTTCATGGCCATTGCAAAACTGTGTTGCTGCCAGGGCATTGTTTTCGTGGAAAAAAATATTTCAGTAAAATACATAAAACTATAAATGGCCCTGCTCAATCTTCTATTAAAAGCAATTTTATACAGCCTTTGAATATCCCTCGTGTGCTGGGCTATTCCCACAGCCCAAGTGCATCAGGTTAATTGCTTCAAACTAATGTGTTTTCTAGTTCCTCAGTGTTCTGTGCTGCCCTGTGTTTTCACAATGTTATGCTGTGCTGAACTCTACTTCAGTGCTTTCGACATCCCAACAGTAATTGCACTTATATAGCCCCTTTCAGGATGAAAGCCTCACGAAGCGCCTAACGATCCAGCGACAAAGTATATATTAACTATAAAACAAGGCAATTAGGAGACAACTATCAAGAAAAACATTTCATTGCTGATAAATTCAATGTTTGGAAAAGCCATATTCAACAGATGTGTCTTCCAGCATGATTTTAAATCGTACATTGAATTGGGCAGATCTTACTGAGGGTGGTAACGAGTTCATAAGGTCAAGAGCATTATATCACGAAGTTATATCACCCATAGTGTGTATTATGAGCCGAGGAAGTCTATATGGTCCAGCGTCTTGTATGGCCACTCATTTCCCTCTTAAGTTAAAAGCATGACCTTGAAATCTAATAAAATACGAACTGGGAGCCAATGTAATGAGGCCAGAATTGGAGTAATGTGAACACATTTCTTAGATATAGTTTAAACTGGCAGCGAAATTTCGTACAACTAGTAGCTGGTACAATGCCTTCATAGGTATTACAATGCTTTTCAGGTATTACCTTCTTGGCATCAGAGAGAGCGAGAGAGAGAGACGGCATCTGAGTTTGGCAATATTTCTGAGATAGAAAATAGAGACCCTGCAAATATTACGAGTGCGTGCCTCAAAGGAAAGGTCGAGATCAGCAATAACTCCGAGTCTTCTGACGTACTTTTGTATTTTAAATGACAAAGACATTGATAACAACTTTGGAAAATTTTGATTTAAACCATTCGTGACTGCAGTGATTGATATTCTTGGTTCTTTCGGTAAAGTCACGTTGAAGGGATACAATAAAATAATAAAATATATTGTTTTATATATATTTTATTGTTTTATATATATTTTATTGTTTCCCTTCAACGTGACTTTACCGAAAGAACTTTGGAAAAGCTAATGTTGTGTAGTTGATGTGTAGTGAGTCCAACTGAGTCGCAGACGTTGTTCTTAGGGGCAACACATTTATTGTAACATCAACACGTTAACACGAAGGGGTAACTGCCCCTTCACCAGATACAGCTTAGGGTGGTAACCACCCAGCTAAACTACACTATACGTAGGAGTAACAAGTACGAAGGGTCGGGCCCTCACTCGGGTCCCCGATCACGTGTTGATGTTTCGTAGGACGTAGAGCTTCCAGCTTGTAGATGTGGAGCTTCAGTTTGTAGAATGCAGCGACCCCGGTCCCTCTCAGGGACCCACCTCATATCCCCCCCAGGTCGGGGCCGCTCTGCCCTGGGCCCCGCCCGTCTTCTCGAGCGTTCTAGCTCCCTCTCCATCCCTCTCGAGAGCTCTCCCCGGACACGTGATCACCCCCGAGCCCACCCCCACCTGGGGGCCTCTCTGTGGACACTCTGGATCACGTGACTACGGGGTCAACCAGAGTGCCATGGCCCGGGGCAACCCTGCCCCTGGGCTGACACTCTCCCACTCCCCCTGGTGGGAGCTCGCACCGCACGCTATGCGTGGTGCCCGGGCTAACCGAGCGCTCGCCAAGCCCTGCTAGGGCTGCTACCACACCCGCCCACGGGGTGTACGCGATGACAGTGCATCGTACGCCACGGCCCTCTCAGGCCGGCACCATACAGTGACATCCCCGAGGTCACTACAGATGTCTGGAGTCCAATATAATTAGCTCTGTTTTGTCTGACTTTAACTTGAGGAAGTTTTTTGTTGTGTGTCCAGAATTTAATATCAGCAGGACAAAGGAGACCACACAGAAAAGTCAGAGAACAGAGCAGACTTGACTGACCAGCTGGGCGGTGGTGTTTATGCACGTGGCCTGTAGTCCAGCACTGTGGAGGCAGCGAGGGTTGGTGGATCACACAAATTTTGTGAAACTCCATTCCTGTGGATGTGGAGGTGCCATGTCCTGGCTCACGAGGAGAAGGCAGTCCAACAAGTGGACTAATTTCCATATTTTTCCATCTGTACGGGGATAGAGTGTTACGCCCCTTGCACACGCGTGGGTTTTCTCTGGGTGCATTGGTTTACTCCCATGTGTATAAACACTCATTTATTGGCTGAAAACATCTTAAAATTAAAACAAAATGCAGGACTCTCCTTGAAAAAGAGTCCTATGACTCAGTGTGGCTTTCCTAGATAACTCAGTAAGCATCAAATGAAAGATACAATTGCCTTCCCATAACCTAAGAAAAACGCATTCTCTAAAATGTTTCGCAATGCCTTAGTTTCGATATACTTTTAGGAAATCACAGCTAACCACCTGGGTGGTATGTGACGGAACAAGCAACTTACATCTTCTTTGGTTCTTTCGGTAAAGTCACGTAGAATGAGAATAAAATAATAAAATAACACAATAAAATTATCACGACGTTTCGGCCACAACGCAAGCGGCCGTCTTCAGGTGAAAGGTACAGAACTGTCGGGACGACAGAGCTTCAATGAACGATGTTAAGATTCGTAGCGACTTTTAAGCTGGTTGGGAGAAGTGAGGCACCTTGACAAAGGGGTTTACATATCAATAGCTGAGGGATTAGCTTGTGACTGGTCACGGAAATGGCTATGTTAAAGTCAAAACCTACACATCCACAGAGGCAACTAGTAATTTAGCATTGAAATAGCTAAGGGATTAGCTTGTGACTGGTCACAGGAATATAACATAACATAGCCATTCCTGTGACCAGTCACAAGCTAATCCTTTAGCTATTTCAATGCTAAATTACTAGTTGCCTCTGTGGATGTGTAGGTTTTGACTTTAACATAGCCATTTCCGTGACCATTCACAAGCTAATCCCTCAGCTATTTGCACAAGCTAATCCCTTAGCTATTTCAATGCTAAATTACTAGTTGCCTCTGTGGATTTGTAGGTTTTGACTTTAACATAGCCATTTCCGTGACCAGTCACAAGCTAATCCCTCAGCTATTGATATGTAAACCCCTTTGTCAAGGTGTCTCACTTCTCCCAACCAGCTTAAAAGTCGCTACGAATCTTAACATCGTTCATTGAAGCTCTGTCGTCCCGACAGTTCTGTACCTTTCACCTGAAGACGGCCGCTTGCGTTGTGGCCGAAACGTCGTGATAATTTTATTGTTTTATTTTATTATTTTATTCTCATTCTACGTGACTTTACCGAAAGAACCAAAGAAGATGAATCCTTGCAGTCACGAAAGCTTCAAATCGAAAAGCAACTTACAGTCATAAGAGTGAAAGTTAAAATCCTGGCCATGGTAAGGGTGAGGTTAAACTCAGCCAATCCATCTGTTAAGCAATAATACGATGAATACTGGTCTTTGATGGACTGGCCTGTGCAATAGGAATATTAAATTTGCACATCTGGCTTATAACTTCCAATGAAAATAAAGCTAAGCCCCCTGTCATTACATATTTGAAACACTTGTACTTGACCTTATTCTTCAAGTAATCATATGCAAGCTCATAACGTAGACAGCTTTGGAGATAAAAGAAGCAGGTGTCAATATGTAAGGCCTCCCCATTCTCTATCGGTCATGGGGATTGCTTGGCTATACTTCACCACATTGTTCAGTGCGGGTTGGTGAAGTGGAAGTCCCAGGGCTGGTATAGATTTCATTTGCTAGGGATATTACTCGTGGATAGGAATTGAACTTGGGTTTTCAGGTTCGTAGTGCAGTGCGCTAAATACTGCATCACTGTTCCACCATTCACTCTACTGCCATGAATTATGTTGACAGTCGATGCTTCAAGTTATGGGATTTACTACGTACACATTTTTGTGTGGAAATGGCCAGGAAGAGCATTATCTGTCACTCTTGAGGTCCTGAGTTTAAATCTGGGTTTCAATAACGAATGACGAGACTGCTGAATTGATTATTGTCTCAGTCCAGCTACCAATGACTGCACAAAACACCCCTCATTAAATTTGCTGTTTTCACTCCACTTGAAAAAAAGCAATCTCTATAACAATTACAAATGTTGGTTTCACTGCCATGTGACAAGCATCCATCCCCCTGGAACAGAGGCACATGGGAAAGTGCAGCAGCAGGAATGTGGATAAGAGGTTGTTTGAAGTGATCTCAGAAGTAGTTTTGTGATCACTTTCCTTTGGCCATTCTCTAACCTTACATGGGATAATGCACTACTCTGCATTGGTTCTGACTGGAAAATTGTTCAATTCGTGGCAATATGCCGATAGCACAGTTGGAATGAATTTGGGGCAATTATTTTATTCACTGTGTAACAATTGTATTTAAAAAATTTGTTCCTGGGTAGTAAGTGTTATTTGCAAAATGCTTATGCCTCAAAAGTACATAAAATGGCTATTATTCCCATAAACTTTGCTTTTGTGACCAGGACAGTGATATTTTGAAATGAGAAAACGTGTGCATTTGTCCTGGTCACAGAAGCAAAGTTTGTGGGGAATAATAGCCATTTTCTATACATTTGAGGCATAAGAAATTACAAAAATAACACTCCCCAGGAACAAAAAGCATTGTTATTGCCTTAACAGTTGATGGACTTTGGTTCCTTTGGTTTAAGTGAAACACGACTGTTGGCGACGTGTTGCGTGGGGGTGCGCACGTAAACAGGAAACTTAAGTAGCTATGATGGCAGCGCAGCCTTGGAGAGCACGGGAGTGTTTTTCTCAGCAGAGCTGCCACCAAAGGCGTGGATCCAACAGTGAACGTGTGCCCATTAGCCTCGCTTACCTTGCGATTACTGCAAATGTCACTCCTACCGCAACTGGCAGATGCGTACGTATGTCTTTGTTGGCATTTCTGCACGTGTGCATATAAGTGTGTGTGTGTGTATGCATGCCCGTTTTGGAGAGCAGTAGTGTAGTGGCTAGCGCTACTTGCTTGGCAACCCGAGTTTGATTTCTGCTGCACACCACCAATAACTGTTGTCAATATTTGAATCGGCTCTGGGCCACCGTGAGATCAACTCAACTGTAAATAAGCATCTGGAGCAGTGTGCAAATATCAGTATTGGTCGAGACAAAGGTGGCTGAGTATGGTGTTGGCCACCCACCACCCTCGTGTAATGGCCCTTGCCCCTACAGTCTGTTAAGGGGCCAAAACGTGGGACCCTTTGGGTTTGTGCATGGCCGTGCACAAGCCCGTCCTGTCTACTTGTGTGCAAACACTTTTGGGCACACTTGGTATTTGTGGAAAGCACTACAATCCCCGTGATGTAAGCAAATACACGTTGCTGATCAACTCCCCACCATGCAAAATAAGTGAAATTGGTTTTATTCCTAGTCATGGTGCATGGGAGTTACACCAAATGTCCATGTTTAGAAAGAATTAGAGTTTGCGTTTGTCTGTGAGAGGAGTGCTGTAGTTCACACTGGGGTATGTTTCGAGCGATCTGGGTTAAATTCTCAGCCAGGGATAACATCAGAGGGTAGATGGTGACTGAATATGACCTGGGGCCCCTATAATTTCTACTCTGGCCCTAAACGAGTAAGCGCCTGATGTCTCCGCTAGCATGGGAACACCTTTATGCAGTTGTATTTCAAATGTAGCCAATAAACGATGAATGATGATTCTTATTCATCTGTGCCTGCCTGCGTGTGTGCACGTGTGTGCGTATGCACGTGGGGGGTGGGTAGGGTAGCCATAAACGTGCTGCGCTATAAACCCGGAAACCCAAGTGCAATTTCTGCCCACGTCCAACACCAGTGACGATTATCTGAACCGTTTCTAGGCCTCCCCTAGGTCGACTCAGCCTCAAATGAGTACCTGGTGTGGTGTGGGCGTGGTGCTGGCCACCCACCCTGTGTTGGCCTTAATAGGTGCCCGCTAACAGCACTTGCCCCAACGGGGGGGCGGGGGGGTTGTCTTTGTATGCGCGTGCACATGCATGATGCGTGTTCACCCCAGGGCATTGAAGGTAGATGGGGGGAGCAACACGCCCGAGTGGGAGCAGGAGGCAAGGGGGGGGATGCCCTACCCGGCGGCGCGCTGGGAACCGGCCCCGGGCCCGGTGGGATCGGGGGTGCCGCGGGCCGTCCGACCCGAGGATGGCAGCTCGACGCTCAGGACCACCGCGGCCACCTCGTTGTCCTCCACCTTGTCATCGCAGACCGTGGCCGTCCGGCTCCGGGAGCCCAAGCCCAACGGGGAGCGGTGAGGAACAACGCATTTTCACTCTGTGAATGTTCATCGCAGTGGGGGGGGTAACGTGGTTGGCACGGGCTCTCTGGTGCAAGGAATGAAATGGGAGCCCCCTGTGCAATGCCCCCCCTCCTCCTCCTCCTCCTCCAACCCTGCCTCTTCGTAGGCCAGCGCTTGGATCCCTATGGTGGCCCAAGGGCCCCAGTGCAGTTGCGCACTGCCTGCATGCTCGATAGCTACATCACCGGTTCCCCGAGCGCAATGTAATGCAATTTGTTATGCATCTACAAGCAGCCTGCGTCTCAAGATGGTGCACAATTTGGTTACATCAGTAAACATCGATGTAGACTAACGATACTCATAATAGAAATTGACAACTTGTTTTAAGGGAATGATAACCACATTCAAGCAGTGGTGATGTGACTTGGAATTAATTAAATTGCAGCACTACTGCCCTATAAACATGGCAGAGGAGTAAACACATTCCCTCTCCTTCCCTCTTCTCCTCTCTCTCGTTTCCTCTCCTGCTACTCCTCTCCTCGTTCATCCTCTCCTACCTCCTTGCTTTCTCTGGTTTCTTCATCATATAAGCCGTTACGAGCACACAGTGGCTGTGATCAATGAATTTCGTGTGGCCCTTGTAATCCCCGCATGCTGTACTCCGGTAGCGTGCGGCCCACATGTACGCAGCGTAAAGACGCCAACAATGAGGAGCTTCGTGCAGCCCCCGCCACCCCCCTAGCGGCCCCCAATCTCAATCATCCACTGGGTACACCAACAGCTCCCCTCCACCCCCCACACCCGCTATAATAATCTGTGTTTTGGGCAGTAGCAGCATACGAAGTGTTTTATTGGAAGCACATGCCCCATGCGTCGTCACATTTATTACAGTAGCTCGCAATAATTATGCTAAGGAGCCGTGTTAAAGGACGCAAACAGCATGGCGCAGTGTTGAGTGGAGTGCAAAACTTTTACGGTTGTGAATGCACAAGTGGATGCTCAATCGCATGTGAATGCAATGCATACTCACCACGTGTACGCAATGCATGCTCACCATCGGATTCCTTCAACGCTGGTGACGTGTTCACGTGTTTAATCCAGACATTGTCTTCTCAGTATAAACGTTTACATCAAAGCAACAATGCAGGAGTCATGCGGTCTCTGACATGAAATGAAAAATAAATATTGCAGGTCACACAGCTAATGATCAGGGTATGGGTTCATTTTAGCTTAATACTTTATATACAATACGCAACACTCTGATTTGTTCAGGGGTTTGGGTGTGCAAAGCAACAGTGGAGCAGTTACCGCGCTGCACTATCAACCCAGTGATTTTGGTTCAATGTCCAGCCATGGCTAACACCAGCAGCGGCAAGTGCTATCTGAACCGTTCCTTCACTCCCTTCCCCGTTAACTGACTGGCCGCCACTAACTGGCGTGTTGAGGTATGGTCAAACGACCCCCATGACCAACACCGCATGCGCAGGCCAATGCACTGTGGATTGACAAAGGGCTGTAAATTATAATGAGTGTTATTGTCACACTGTAATTTAACTTTGCACAATTGAATTCACGCCGCTAGCATTCTGCATATGGATCGCAGGAATGCGGCACATATTCTGTGATGTTTCGCGGCGAGTCTACAGAGTCGTTGAACTGAGAACTGTGGCGTTTGTTTAATGTTACATTACATAATATAACTCTCCGAGCTGTTGGTACTTCTTTACTTTGGCCGTTTTGTAAATTTTCTTCCGATGTTTACGCTTCGCCATGGTTTATCTGCTGTGTAAATCGACTTCACTCTAATGTAGGCAGATTATTCGAGTTGATATAGTCATGGGTTTATTTGATATACAGGAACATTCGAAATGTTTGGATGTGAGCACACGTGTTGTTAATTCCCTGTTTTTTTATTTTTCCCAATAAAATGTCGTACGCTTATTGTACACATTTCATACGTTCGTGCAATAAAGTCACGACATTTATTTACTATAATAAATTGATATAATAAAATAACACAATAATATTCTATTATTAGAATGACTTTACCGAAAGAACCAAAGAAGATGAATCCTTGCAGTCACGAAAGCTTTAAATCGAAATTTATTTACTAGATGTACTGTTCAATATAGGTGTATGAAACTTGCTTACATTGGTTTTATTCTAATTAAAATAATTTACCTGTTTGAAGCCTGTATCAATCGTGTTAGTGGCAGTGGTGCATGCTTAGCCCACTTGGCTCTGAACTTCACCTGGGTTTGATTCCCAACCAATGTTATCTCGTGCTGAGCCGTGTTTGTGCCCAAACCGCATCGGAAGTGAACCAAGCTGGGCCGAGTCGGCTGCTCATGCCTCACGTGGGCCTCGTCCCTTCCATTGTGCCCTCCTGATCCCGCTTCACACCACACACTCCCGCTCTGTCTCTCCCCCCAATCCTCCATAGCCTGGTGTCTAACCCCTACAGGATGCAACTGTGTGTGAGGATATAGTGTGACCCTGTTCAGGATGTGATGTTTTAAAAAAAAACAGTCTATACAGTATTTCATGGAGGTGGTGTAACAGGAGGACCATACATACATTAGGCCTACTGCCCCCGCTCCACCCCCTCCATCACAGATGAGCTGGAGCCTGACCTGGGCAGCAGGTCTAATTGGCATACATCATAAATAATACATTCACAGATGCTCATTGAGAAGCATATTTCATGCCCGATATGTGCATCTCATTTTGCCACCTTTAACAATTAGTTCAAAGTCGTGTGCTCTCCCGTGCTGGTAGTCCCTCATAGTTTGCACTCAGGCAACTCTGTATATAAATCCACATTTCCATCATCCCTTCCATCCATCTGGACTTCTATCCTCATCTGTCTTATTACCTATCAACTTACAATAAACAAACGTTTTATTTGGGCTCGATTGGTGGTATAGTGGCTCACGCACTGGGCTGGAATTCGATTTGGAGTCACAGCTAACATCATTGGCGAGTGATACCCAGATCAGTCCTGACGCCCCACTCTTCAGCAACTCGCCCTCACCAGTGCAGTGAAAATGTTGTCAGACATCCCCTATGACTGACATGGCATGGAGACGCCATCAGTGGATTGACAAATGTTTCAACATTTATTATTTAAGATACTATGCATAATTAACTTCATGGTTATTTTTCTGAAGGCATACATTTTCCTCGAAGTGTCATTTTCAGGGTCACACTATATCCTAACAAGGGAATGTACTAGAATATATAATTTTGTTTGTTTCAGCATAGTGAGTGAGGAAACTATGAAGGAAAATTTGTTTAGTGTTTATAAATTAAAGTACTGCAACAAATCATCGATTAAAACCATTCTTTCGCTTATAATATGCGCGTAGGATCTTGCGTGTGAGAATTTATTTCCTACCATTTTTGCAAATCATGTGGCAACGTTGCCTGTGGGCCTACAGAGCGAAAAAGAATGAAGTATTTAATCGAATCCTGACCCGCATCATTGCAGTGTATTAAATTGCAGTGCCACGGGGGGGGGGGGGGGGGGGGGGGGGGGGGGGTGGATCGTAACATGACGAATAAACAAGGGTCTTCTGGTCACGAAGCCAGATGAAACTGTGAACCAGCTGCAGGCTTAGGGATAATGCTGAGTCTGGAACTTGTCCCAACCCTTGGCCAACCCAATAGCCCTCACCCTGGAACAGACCAAGTACAGCGCCCTTCTCTGCACCTGCACTTTATTAACGTGCTCGCGCAGCCCATTTATTCATCAGATGCAAGCACCCATTTTTTAAGTGTTTTTTTTTTACGAGCGTTGACCCGACAAATCATTCCCGAGCCAGGAGGTGATAGAACAGCTGGGTTTCCATTATAATTTACAGCCTTCTGTCAGACCACTGCTGGATGGAAGCCCTCTTTTCTCACGCCATGTCGGTTGCAGAGGTTTGTTTGACCATGCTTCACCTCGCTGGTCTGCGTGGGTTGGTAATAGATGGGGGTGTGGGGGCCAGGATCGCTTCAGATAATACTCGCCACTGATGTTAGCCGTGACCGGGAATCTAACTCTGGTTGTGGCATCTTTCCCACATGGGGTTTGCGTAAAATGTGATCGACCATCAATCTCGAGTGCAAACATTTTTACCCGACAAAGTAAATGCCACAATGTGTGTGTTTGTATATAGCAGAACTGTGACAATGCATAGATTAATCGATTAATATAGTTATTAAGTTCACAACACCTGCATCGGATCGTGGAAGAATTTCTGTATTTGGATACATGCATGTTTTATGTAATGTGTCTCTCCTGCAAGTCACTGGAGGTGCGACCATGCACAGAATCGTACATTTTTTTATCGATTCTTTAATCGAATTGACTCCCTGAATTGTGATAATTTTGCTGACGAACCAGGGGGAATTAATCTTTCAACTCCTTGTAGAGAGCTAACAATATTGAATATTGTCACGTGAAACAAAAGCACGTGCTTTTGCATTCAATTATCGGAATGCATTTGATTGACATTTTGGTGGAAATCCAGATAATCCAGTGTTTTTTAACGTGTTGAACACGGCTGCTATTACACGGGCATTTAACCTTAAGCACCTGAGCCAACGCAGACACCTGATTTCTCAGCTCATCTCTATTTTTAAGATCTCAGCCATGAGTAAATGTCACCTCCGTTGAGCGATGGGGGTGACGGGTTTAGCGGCAGGGTAGGCAAGAGAGGGAGAGGGCAGGACGAGGCAGCGGGTGGGCGGGCGCCGATGCAGGTGAGAGGTGTCACGAAAAAACAGCGGGGACGGGAAGCCCCAAGCTGCCCATTCTGGGATGGTGCTGCGCCATAACTCTCCGGCTCAGTTCCTCATGCACTGCCAACGTTGCAGCAAAGGAAGCGCCTGTAACAGCGCGGGCAGGAAAAGCGCGAGGTCTCTCGTTTTGAAGTGGCAGCGTGACGGCCCCTGGCGAGATGGCACATCCATGACCCCTGGACCCTGGCCCCACCCTCGTATATGAGCGAGAAGAGGCGCCCATGAGCCACTGCCGCCAGCATTTTTTCTCGTATCCTCAATCGTGCGTGTGTGTGGACGTGCGTGTGTGCACGTGCGTTAGTGTGTGTACTGAGTGGTGAGCGGTAGTTTAGCGGTTAGCGCTATGCTGCGCTACGAACCCGGCGACCCGGGTTCGATTCCCGCTCATGGCCAACTTCAGTGACGATGATCTGAACCGACCTAGGGGAGGTCCTGGGCCTCCCCTAGGTCGACTCAACCTCAAATGAGTACCTGGTGTGGTGTGTTAACATCACCACTGGGGAGACAAAGGCGGTCGGGCGTGGTGCTGGCCACCCACCGACCTGTGTACCGTTCTGGCCCTCATAGGTGCTGCTCGCTAACAGCACTTGCCCCTACAGTCTGCTAAGGCTATACGGGGGATCTTTGTCTTTGTACTGAGTGCACACACGGACTCCGCCTCAACTCAGCCTCAAATGAGTACCTGGTGCGATGTGTAAACATCGCCACCAGGGAGACAAAGGCGGCTAGCCGTGGTGCTGGCCACCCACCCCCTCAAGCACTGTGCCGGCCTTCATAGGTGCTCGCGAACAGCACTTGTCCTAACAGTCTGTTAAAGTCTATATTGGGGATTTTTGCCTTTCTACTTAGTGCAGAACAGTGGTGCAGTGGTTAGGGAGCTGCACTCCAAACTCAATAAACTTGAGTTGGCTAACATCAGTGGCCAGTGGCGCCTGAATATGTTCTGGGCCTCCCCTGAGTTGACCCCGAGATCAATCCCTTGGTCTACTCAGCCTTAAATAGATACCTGGTGCAGGGTGTGAGAATATCATCAGTGAGCTGACAGCAGCAGCCGAACATGATGATGGCCACATGATTGTTAATATAATTGACAAAACATTTGAATATAGGACCGTATTGAAAACGAGCCTGAAGACTTGGTGAGACTTTCTTCAATGAAGGGAATTATTATATAATTACATCACCCCAGTATGTTTTTTGCCAGCCTTAATAGGTACTTAAAATGGCACCTGCTAAGAGTGTATATGGCTTAATAGGAGACCTGTATCTTTGGTCCTATTAGTCAAGGGGAACATTGGTGGCAAGTGACATCTGACCCATTCCTGGATCAGAGTTGTGCTGGTGCCTAAACATGCCCAAACAGAACCGACCTGAGCCAAGTTGTGTTCCCACCGATGGCATGACCTCTTCACCGACCACCCTCTCCACACTCCACATTTGCACTCTCCCTATACCCCCCCTGAGCCTCCGCACATTCGTGTCCAGGCTGCAGATAATTCATCCAGTTAGAGCACGCATGCATTCGTGTGTGCTTGTTTGCACAAGTGCAGACAGGCTACTGCAACTGAGAATGGGAGTGCATGTGAGAAAGTGCTGTTCGTGAGAATTGTATACTGGCTGGTACAGCAAATGAGAGGAGGTGGTGTGTGGCAAGCACAACGCCCGGCTGCCTTTGTCTTCCTCGTGCCAATGTTAACGCACCGTACATTTAATATTGAATTGACCTAGGAGAGGTCCAGAGCTGGTTCGAATATTTGCCACTGATGTGGCCAATGGCCGGGCATCGAGTTCAGTTTTCACGAAACACTATGATTCCACAGCCCACCACCGCACGTGTGTTAACGTACATAATCATACGCGTATTTTTATATGAATGTGTGTGCATGTTTATTTGTCCATTTGTTCGAAATCCTGTGTTGGGCACCCCGATTGATGGATGGATACTGTGTGCGAGAGGCCGGTGGCAGGAAGTGGGGCTCATCACAGCCATGAGGGGTTGGTGTTGTGTTTGCGGAGGGGGAAGATGTGTGACTTTGTGGGAATATAAAAATCCTGGATATATGGCCTCTTTTATTCCTCCCCTGGGCAATGTTCCTGTAGAATATGGGAATTCCGGTGTATCTGGGAAGACTTCCCGTGTAACACCATCCACATGCCGGCCTTGGCCTTGGGCAATATTTTCTCTCTTACACACACTCGCTCGCTATTTCTTTCCCTTGCTCTCTTTCATCTCCCTTTTATGTTCCACTTCCTGCACATGTATCCAATATCCCCGTGACGGCTCCTGATCAGACCATGAGCTGATTAAGGCAGCTCGCGTGTCATTCCTGGTGATACAAGGTATCCGTTACCTCCTGGGTTTTGCTTTAACTGTGTTCTCTGTCGCCATCCCGAGGAGCTGCCCGTAAATCTTCGTGGTCTCCTCTTCTCAATGACTTCCAGTTAAAAAATATATATATTTAATTATTTGCCATGCGCATGCCCAATCTTTCACGCTTCTTTTTTATTTCTCCGACTCCATGAACAGTGGCACAGTGAGTATTGGCACTGCTCTATGAGCCCCGTAAATTCTGTGGCGAATTGGTCTGTATGTATGTTTAACTTCTTTTGCACCGTACGTAGCCAACTGTGGCAATCGGAGGTGCGGGGGAAGGACAACAAACTAAATACAAAAAATAGTTTTAAAGAAATTAGTCTAACCCACATTGGTGAACTATGGTTAAATAACTCCATCAACCGATATAGCCTGGGGAGGCCTTCATCGGCAGTGGATTTACAAAGGGCTGTAGATTCAATCTCGCTTCCATTCCACGAGTTAGCCCAGTGGCACCAATTCATGAATTTACCCTGGTTGTCTGTTCCAGAAATAACACTTGTTGTACGCGTTTTTTGTGCGTGTGTTTGGAGCCAAAATAAATCGCTTTAATGTGCTCGTGCGCACAATGTTGCACATATATGCACACACTCGCACGTAATTTATACAGTAGCGTAAAAAAAAGTTACCCTAATGATGTATAAATGAAACGCAGAGCCGCAGTCGTAAAGGTTGAACCTTTGGCTTGCACGCACGTCCGTCTTTATTGTGAAGCATCTCGCTTAATTTAATGCAAGCACAGGTCGCTCATGCCATTTGGTGAAATTCGCTTGTAGCTATGTTTCGTTACACAGGTATACGTATCGTGGGTTGGAGCGAAGGCACAGTGGTCTGAGCACTGGTGCTGTCGACCTTGCCATCCCAGTGACATTCCTAGCCCATGACTAACATTGTTTTGAACTTCGTGTTGCCCCCCTCCCCCAACCCCCATTTCACCAAACGACACTGACCAGCATGGTGAAATATGGTCAAACAACCCCCTTAATTGTGACATAGCGAGAGGAGAACTTAATCCAGGAGTGGATTGACAAAGGGCTGTAAATTACAACTTTTTTTAAGGACGTATCGAAATATACAGTACGTCCATGTTATATATGCTCTGTTCTTTTTATTTATTTTGACTTACCGGAACATCTTGAATTGTAACTTTATTTATCGCCTTCCAGATTCTTATTTTTTTTTCTCCAACAGCTTCTGTTATACTCCCATTGTTTGTATCCAGGCACTCACAGCCATGTTTCCTGTTCATATGACTCCAATATGGGCTGCGTATATGCCGTGGAGATCTCAGCTGGTCCGGATTAAGGCATCCATGCGTGCGTTCATTTGCAATCATCCATTACCACATGCACACCTGATCGTTATGCTAACCCTTACATATCACTCCTCCCTTACCCTGGTGCTCTCTCTTTTTCTCCTCTCCTCTTCTCCCTCTACCCTCTCCCCTCTCCCCTCTCCAGGACGTTCCACCAGGACCGAATAAGTCAGCTGTTCCAAGAGTTCCAGATGCGGCGCAGGGAGGCGAGGGCAGGCGGAGGTGGAGGAGTCGGGGCATCATGCCGGGACGGGATCGAGGAGAGGCGTAAAACGTACAACTTCGAGCAGCCCTGGGTATGTATAAGGGGACTTCCTCTCAGCTCTCAGATGGGTGGTAGAATTTGACTGTGGCCCCTGCTTTCTTCTGCTTGATTTACATATTGGGTCTGAGCAACTTTAATGTAGGATTATGTGCGATAATCTTCCAATACGTTTTTTTGTTGGCAGAAATCTAAATAGATAATTACTGGACTGTATATGAGGCTCTTAATGTGTGTTTGTGTATATATAGTGGTGTTATTTCACACGGACAACTTTTTTTCTCCTGTGTCACTTTATTCGTACAGAACTCCTGCACGTATCTCCGTCGCAACTCTTCCTCTTGTACTGCTCGCCTGCTACGCTCCGCTCGCTCTCTCTCGCTCCGCTAGCTTGCGATTTGCACTCTGCTAGCTAGCCTCTTGCTATACACTCTGCTAGCTTCTCTACTGCTAGCCTTATCACACTCGCACTTAAGATTCCGCTAGCCTCTCTACTTCTAGCCTGTCTACCATCACTCCTCCAACCTCACCCGTGCCCCCAGTGGGGGATCAACCAACACCACTGGAGAGGACGAGGTGTGGAGAGCAGGGTCCCAGACTTCTCTTGTAATAATCTTCTGTCTTCATTCCAACCAACTCAACCGCGTTTCCCCGCACCTCAGCTTATATCCCCTCATTCATTAAGAGACCTCAGGTGGCCCTCGTTGAGCCGTCGCTCACACGGCATCTCCGCCCCGCTTATCGCCTCCATCTCCCGCCTGCGAAGATGCCTACACCATGTTTGCATTTGCAGCCAGCCAATCACCACTATGCATCTTAATTGGTCGCCTCTCTCTGGTCGTCCTCTCTGCACCTGTTCGCCCTGACGTGACCTCACGGTCCGCAGCTCACACATGCATGCACACTGGCTCTTGAACGGTGGGCTTTACGTCGAAAAAAAATTGCCAGCCAGCACACCCTAAGCCCCGCGGTGGGAATAGGCTATTCTGTTTTCTCATCCGTAAACTTTAAAGTAGTTTAATTAACACATTTGTGCTATTCTTATTTTAATGATTTACTTATTGCACGTTTGGTCGAGCTGATGGGGGACATTTTCTTTTACGCGTTTTACATGCAATACATACACACATAATGCTGCGTATATTTCTTCATGTCCTCTTCGCCCCCCCCCCCCCCCCCCAACACGATGCGTCCAGTTAATACTACAGAATCTGTAGATAATAATATTATAGTGCTTAGATACCATTATTCTTGCACGGGCGGGGGGATGGGTGTGGGTGTAGCAGCCCAGCCCCCAGCCTGCCAACGTGCTACCTCCCCTGCCTCGACAATGTAGGCCAGGACGGGGGCTCCGCACGGGACTAGGCCTCACCAAGCCTATGGTAAGTACACATTTCCTTGCTTCTTATGCTACAATCACGTACGTACAAAACTGTTGTTTTCTTCATCACCTTGGAAATATGATATTCTTTTTGTTTCTGTGCTCACTACATATATTTTGTTCGTAACTTGCCCATTACTTTAATCTTTTTTATTCTGTCAACCAATGTTCAAATATCATCTTTATTCTTGTGTGAACTCACGTTAACATATCTTCTTTCTTATTGTGTCAACTCATGTTCAAATACACCTATTTTTTACATATCACCTTACTATTCTTACATTACTTATCTTCACTTACACCTTTCGTGACTGCATTATTTCATATTCTTTGCTACCCGGGTAAAACTACATGGCCGCGAGTCGCAACCATTCCCTCTACACCTTCGCGTGCGACAGGGATGTCCTCTGGCTCCCACATTATTTCACATCTATTTTACCACGTACTTCGTGAAGCCTTCAATCAGCTACAGATACAATGGGAGGCTGATCGATGCCCGGGTGCAGTCAAGGGATGGATTCCTTTTGCTAAACCATGTATGTATGCCCATGATCTGGTAATTGCTGCTCACTCAAACGACGAGTTGGAGGCACTGCTGCTGAACCTGGAGCTTGCCTCTAAGAGGTGGGGCCTTGCCATCAGCCCCACCAAAACTAAGTACCTGCCTGGGTATTTTGTACCATCGGACACTCCACCCCCACAACTCCCAATTGCTGATGGGCCGCTTGTGGAAAGAGTGGAGAGTTTGCCATACCTGGCCAGTGTGCTCATGACCGGCTCCCGTTTAACAGCAGAGGTCTCACTCCGAATCAGTCGAGCGGCATCATCTTTTCATCGGTTGCGTAACACTGTGTGGAGAAGCTACCTGGTCTATCGCTCCGCACGAAGCTTCAGGTCTTCTCGGCCACGATCATTCCCTCCCTTCTCTACGCTTGTGAAACGTGGACCCCCCTAATGGAACATCTTTGCTGGTTTGAAACATTTAGGCTGGCCTGCCTACGATCCATCCTTGGTTTAACCATGCTGAATTGTGTGAGGAGCTCACAAATCCTTCAAATATCTGGACAAAGTCCCATCGGTGAGCTCCTCCGGCAGGCAAGGCTGCGCGCTGGGTCATGTAGCCCGCATGCCCAGTCACCGCATGCCTAAACAGCTTTTGTTCGGTCGGATCAAGGGGGCTAAACAGGCACGGTACGGGCTGGAGAGGAGATGGAGTGATGTGGTACAGGAGGACGTGGAGCTGAGTGGACTTGCTGATGACTGGTACCAGCAGTCTCAACATCGGCCTCTGTGGAGGAGGATCATGAAGGACGCTACTGGCCAGTTGGAGGCAGTCGCCCTCCAAAAACAACGGAGGGCAAAGGAGCGATGCTCACAACAACGAGCGGAGCGCCGGGTGGCTAAAGCACAGCAACTTGGCATAGTAGGGAGCACAGGTGGTGCATCAGCCAGTCATCTCAGTCAGTCGACCTGTGCCACCTGGGTCTGCCCCGTGACCTCCTGCCAGCGGCCGTTCTACACTTCACATGCCCTCAAGGTGCACATAGCCTTGTACAAGCGTCGTGGTGATGTCACCACCGCTTCGTGCCGAATGGCGGTTCTTCTTATTGCATGGTATTGTGTCACACTTTTTTACACTTTTCATTATTTTTATATCTGCATCACTTTACCGAAAGACACTATCAATGTAGATTAATAATACTCTTTGTTTGGTTTCGGTAAAGTCATGTAGGTAAAATAAAATAAATGAAAACAACTAAATTAAATCACAACGTTTCGGAGGCAACACAAGCTTCCGTCTTCAGGTGGAACAGTCACAGCAAAATAGCTGTATCAAGTGAAGAGCTCTGAGACACCCGAGATTATATACAGGTTAAGGGGGGGGAGGAGCCAGGAAGGGACGTGGGTGGGGAGGGGAGGGGCTAAGCTAAGGGTGGGGGAGGAGCCAGGAAGGGACGTGGGTGGGGAGGGGAGGGGCTAAGTTAAGCCGCCTTTTGTTATGCTGCAGGGGGTTTGGAGGTAGCGGTGGTGCACTGCACGAAAGCAAGTACAACCACTGGTAGAAATGGAAATGGCTTTACAATTATAAGGCAGCTAAAGTTTGACTTGGTTGATGACATCTTTCCAATGGTTGCTCAATTTAAAACCATCCTCTCGGTTGAAGTTGTCTATGTTTGTATATCTGGATGGCTTCATGGACAAATCTTTGATTTGTGCTCGCGAATTCGGTCAGAAATATGTCGTTTCGTCTCCTTGATATAGCAGTCACCACAGGTACAACTCAATTTGTAAACACCGGGGTACTGTAAGTCAGGAATTACATCCTTTACGGATGGGATCAGATCACGGATTTTGTCTACTGTATTGAACCGGACCTGGATCTTGGGTTTGTTTAGAATTTTGGAAATCTTTTTGGTAACGCCTGCTATGTATGGCAGTGTGATGATTTTGATCAGAGTATCAGGTGGTTGTTTCTGTATGGTGGGAAAAACAGCTTGGCGGATAGTACGGTCAGAGTATCCGTTCATCGTGAGGGCCAGATGTACATGTTTTAATTCACTGGTCAGGTGGTGTTGGTCAGAAATGCAATGAGCCCTATGGTATAATGTTTTGATGAGATAATTATTTTGAGCCGGGTGGTGGTGGGAATCAGGCTTCAAGTAGGAATCTCGCTTTCGTGCAGTGCACCACCACTTCCCCCGAATTCCCTGCAGCATAACAAAAGGCGGCTTGACTTAGCCCTCCCCTCCCCACCCACGTCCCTTCCTGGCTCCTCCCCCCCCTTCACCTGTATATAATCTCGGGTGTCTCAGAGCTCTTCACTTGATACAGCTATTTTGCTGTGACTGTTGCACCTGAAGATGGAAGCTTGTGTTGCCTCCGAAACTTCGTGATTTAATTTAGTTGTTTTCATTTATTTTATTTTACCTATGTGACTTTACCGAAAAAAAACCAAAGAGTATGAATCCTTGCAGTCACAAAAGCTTCAAATCTAGATTAATAATGTTTGTGTGCAGACAACTAATTTTTGCATTCCATGCTTTCGCTCAATTCTTGTACACAGAAACCTGGTATTTTTATCATCACCTTCAAAATCTTCACATATTTACGTTTGTGTCCTCACAAGTATTATTTGATTATTAACTTGCTCTGTATTAATTTTGTTGTTGTCACATCACCTTCATAGAAATCTTTTTTTTCAATAATCACCTTGCTAATATTACAATCATAATGGTTGTGTACGGACAAATTCTATTTTTGTTCCTTGCTTCTTCCACTAAACTCATGTACATAGAAAGTGTGTGTCAGTCGATGTGTGTGTCTGCCTTTTTCGCCTGGGCAATGCCGGGTACTTACCGCTAGTAACTTATAAAGCAGAGATAGTCATGCTCCTCGAACCAGAAAAAATATCCTGAAATACAAAATGTATTCCCAGTTTAGTTGAATGTCAGAAATATAAATGCATAATATTTTTTTTATATATAGAGGAAACCACAGACATTGCAAGCACAAGAATGTATTTTAAGGAAGCCGACAGACGTGTGGTTTAAGAGGAATGGATTCTGAATCTGGCACGCGTGCCTTGTATGGGGGAAAAAGCGTGAGCGCTCCCAGACTCGTGCTCGCTCCCACGCGCTTATTCATGTGGCAGA